TTCCAATCTCTACATATTATACAAAGCCTTATTTTCTTACTTACTGTGTATTGTAGGTGTCATGAAACCAGTTTAAACCTCTTTCAAAACCCTGCTTAAATTTGGTTCAGAATGTTCTGTTCCATGTAAGAGATATCAGCCCTTCCATAAAATAGTTTAGGAAGAACTCTTTTACTGAGTCAGTTCGTACAAGTTACAAATTGCTAAATATTGCTGAGACAACTTTCCCCAAGAATCTATTACCTAAGTAACTAAACACTATACAAATGAAACTAAGATCTTCCAGATAAATAAATCAATTGCTGAAGAGGTGTGGTGGAAGAGTGGGAGGGTGGGGAGAGAAGAAAAGGCAGACTAAAAAAAATAAATGAAAAATTTCCCTCCTACTCTGTTCCTGCATCTCAAGGGATTCGTTTAGTTTACCAAAAGCAACTTCTTTAACTACTTGTGAAAACCAGGATAGGGAAAGCACACTTTTCCATGAAAAGGGCTGGATGTGATGACTTATCCTCAATACTGGCAAAAATTTTCCCTTTGACCTTTACAAGTTGACTTCTATGACACAATATATGGGACTGGATCTGTGATTTCATTGGTATGGGGAACTCCCAGGTGAGAAGACTCCCTCTACCAATGCATGTTGGTACCTTCTCTGTAACTTTTTAGTCTCAGAGAATTGCCCATGGCCCTGAGAGCTTAAGTGACTTTTTAGAGTCACAGAGTCAGTGTATATCAGAGGCAGGTTGAGACCACCTCTGTATCCACCATGCCATGCTGCCTCTCTCACACAATATATGATATTCAAACATTCCAATGGGCCTTGGATCCTTCTCAATGTGGGTGCTTTCTTCAGTGATATAGATCTTAATCTGTTCTCTCCCTGGGCCCAGGATCACCAAAATAACTTTGCAGTTTCACAAAGACAATAATCCATATAGCTTTCCTCCCCCTGCCAATTCTGAACTCAATTTACAATCCATCTGCAGCATCTGCCCAAGGTATATATGCCATTGAATGAGCTCCACAGATTTTCCATCTGACTGCATCTTAGTTTGGACTGTGGGTATATCTCATCCCCTTCCTACATGGATATTTAGAATTCTGATTCATTAGGAGGAAACATCATATACTAAAGTTCTGGGCTGTGTGAGGAGCTCTGGGTACTAGTTCTGATTCTACCACTAACTGGCTTGGACAGATTGCTGCTTTTTCCCTCTCTGAGACTCCATTCCCCATCTACAAAATGGAATGAGGCAAGGGAGAAATGAGAAGATTAGGACAGATGGCAAATCTAATCTTCTCCCTTTGGCTACAGGTCCTTGGAAATCACCTGGGTAAGTTTTGACGACAACGCTTGTGTAACTCCTCTTCTCAAAACCTTTAGCATGTTCAGATTCTTCATACAGTCTGATTTACATATCAGTGGTATGACACTGCTGTTCATTTGGACCAAAACCACAAGAATAAGAACAACAACACTTAAACATAGACTGTGGTCAAGTTGGGGCTCCATCATTATGCAGATTTTCATTTTCTTAAAATCTTGTGTTTTCTAAGAAATAATTAATTGCTATTTATTCTTTTCTTGGATTTAGAAGGAGCTTCATTTTGGAAAACTGAGTATCAGATATGTTTCCTTTTTTTAAAAAAAGGTTTTTCTAAGCCTTTTAAAAAATCAATAAGACAAAGATATCAAAGAAAATACATCTTTAAAAGTCTCTGCTTTGTGCATGGTCACAGCTTGGTCTAATCTTTCATTTCCGACATTAAAAAACCCTCCAGTTTTGGAAGCAACCTTGAGGGGTCATCTAACCCATCTTCTCCCCATCTTTAGAAAAGGACACCCTTAAACATTCATCCTATTTGAAGATTATTAGTAACCCATTCCAGTGGCTTCTAACTCTTACTCAGAAAATTCATCCTCCTATCTAACCCAAATTACCCATGCTATAGTTTAAGACCATTTCCTCTTATTTTGTCTTTAGGAAAGTTGGAGAATAGCTGGTAACTAGCCTATGTAAAAGCTCATCATATACTTAAAGACCATTACAGGCAGTCCCCACCTTTAGAAGCAATGTATGGCCAAAGACCCCATCTTAAAGTGGATTGCAGTAAATCAGAATTTTGATACAATCTGTCTTGGTAATCAAGTTTGGTGTCACTAGGTAGGAACCAATGAATAAGCATGGACAAGCAGTGAGAAGTGAAGTATAAGTCTTTATTAGGCAGCTTTGAACAACAGAGCAGTGAAAAGTGCTCTTCAGCCTTCCTTTCTCAAGGTTCAATAATTCCAGTCTCCTTACCTTTCTTCAAAAAACTCTGTTTGCCCACCCCTTAATTATCACTGTTGTTCCCCGAATTGTTTCCAAGTTCTCCATATCTCTCTGGAGAACTACAGTAGGAGATGGTAATGCAACAAGAGTCTGGCTAGCACTGAGCATACTGGGAAGTATACCCCAATGTTCCTGTACCTTGTGTATGCTATACAATAACTAGGCTATTCAACTTACAGACTGGATTCCAAGGAACCACAAATGGCTAACTCAGTGAGATAAGCCAGTTGTCTAGATACTTGGGCAGAGATGAAAACAGCATGCATAGTCTGGGCTCTTGTGATGAACTAAGACAAATGCAAATGGAATGCAAATGAAGATTACTATTTATGGATATCATTATCACGTCTATTTCCTGATGACTATAGTACATATCTGACTCATTGACTACATGAACTAAATAATCAAGATGCTCCTTTTTAGCTATAAGGTTCTATGATCAACAGATATTTTCTTTTTAAAAAAAACATACTTCAATTTATCCTGTTATTCAATCTTCTTACTTGCTTTAGGTAACTCTATGCGACTAAGTTGCAGGGAACAAGGCTATCTATCTGCACTGGTAAAGGGAGTATCCTATTGGGGAATTCCTTATACCAACGAAATCATAGGTCTAATCTCTATCCTCCATTCCATTTCCTATGTTACAGTTGTGTGATTAATTTCTTTTAATCTCAAAGTAAAATCATTAATCTAGATAGCTTCTTAAGAACAACAGTAATTGGTTAAATCACCTAACCTCTAGCTGCCTTAGTTTCCTAGTATGTAAAAATGAGATAGTAATAGTGCCTATCTCCCAGGGTTGTTGTGAGGATTAAATGAGATACTACTTGTAGAATGCTTTGCAAACCTTAAAGAACTATAAAAATGCTATCATCATCATCATCATCATCATCATCATCAGTCACAATAACAAAAATTCACCCTATAAACAGGGAGTGCATTGTTCCACAACTACAGACAGCATCAGTAGGATGAGTAGGTTCTCAGAATACACCAAGAGAGAAGATTCCCTTCGGGAACACAGGTGGCCATACAACTCATGCTTCTGCAGAATCCCACTGTCATTTCCCAGCATCTCTGTTCAGTTAATTTTTGTACTGCCTTGTACTTGACCTAAAGGAACCTAACTATGCATGTTTCTGATTAGTTTGCTAATCTTTAAAGGTCACGCTGAATTCTGACTTTGTCCTTTATGACATTGGCTATCTCTCTCCCCCACTGGTGTCACCTGCAAACTTCAATAATGTGCCATCTTGTTCTATCTTCTTGGTTCTTGGGGGAAATGCTGAATAACACTGGGCTGAGGACCAATGGAACATGATTTCTATTCTTCATGTATTGATAATGATAGATGCATATTTTAAAATATAATTATAGTGAAAATTAGGGATGTGAGAAAAGCAGAAGAAAATGAGGACAGCAAGAAATGACAGCTGCAGTTAGCACTAAACGAAATGGCTTAAGATTTTGCTGCTGCTAATGCTTCAGGGAATAGGGAAAGGTTAGTGCTTAACTCCTAGGTCATCCATATCCCTGTTTTCCTATCCCTATTTCTGGATAGGGTTAGGGATATTTTTAGGGATATTTTGTTGTCTGGTAGATTTTGGAGAAAGTATTTACACCATTTTTCTTTAGGAAATAGCTACTCACCTGTCACCTAGGATAAATTATATTATCTACATGACAAATAGAGAAGGCTATTGACCACATTCATTTTATCATTGGCACACCTCCACTGAGAAGTAAACTTTTAGTAAGGTCAAACCTCACAGAGTTGAACTAATTCAGAAAGTCTTATCTGAATTAAAGACTATTTAAAAAGAACTGTAGTTTTGCTACATTCAGGCATATACAGTACTCAAATCAAGCTATTCAAGCTTACTCAAATCATTGCATAGCAGAGGGCTTCAGAAGCCCTGCTTTAAACAAAAAAGCAAGGCAGAAGAAATACGTCATGAGTACATTAATTCATAGAATCATAGGATATCAGAGTCATAAGGACCTCAAACTTCATCTAGTCTAACCTATACATAAAAATCCTCTTTACAATTGGAAGTAGGAATATGCTGATCATACAAGCTCATGAGACCGAATTGTTAAATTTTTTAGTGTGAGCATTTATACCTTGGAAATCAGGAAGTCCCACAAATCAAGACTTGATTTACTGTTTTGTCTCTTTTCTAGACTTAAGAAAGTGATGGAGGAAATGTTAATAATGCAGATTTAACTTTAAAATATATTATGTGTACATCCCCCTGAGAGGTGATTGTTAAACATTTAGTTGCACCCCGATTAGTAGCTTCCATGAGAGTTTGCTTAATACGAAAAATTTCCCTCTATAATTTTAAAAAAGTAAATAAATAGATGTTTCTGAACTATTCAAGGATTAACTTTCACTACAAAGAAAACAATCCACTCAGATAAATTTGAGCCCAATTGTAGTGTGAGCACTACTACAATGTCCAAATTAGCATTAATGCAGTTTTACCTAACTGACAAGGTCAATTTTGTGGGTTAGAAAAGAGCCTAGTGAAGGTTGGATAAAACAAGGCTAATGAGATGCTATTAACATAAAGATTAGAGAATTAGGTAAAATGATGAGCTTCTGAAAGTAAGATCAAAAAGAGTGAAATGGCCTCAAAGAGAATTTTTTTTCTTACTTACCAGACTCACGAGTCCGACCTCTCACCACTTCACTCCAAGGCCCTGCCCCAATGGCATTGAATGCCTGCATCTGTAGCTCATATTCAGTCCATTCTTCCAGTTCCTCAATGGTATATTCTCTCTCCAATCTGTCATGGATTACTTGCACCATTACTGAAGACTGAAGGTCAGTTCGCCAATATTTAATCCTATAGCCCACAGATTCAGGGTTGCCATTATATTGTGAATCAGGGAGTGGCTGGAAATGAATAACGACAGAATATAACCCATTCATGACTTTTTAAAATCTCCTAACTGTGATCCAGGTGACATTTTGTACCCATAAGACTAAAAATAACTCAGAGGAAAGAATGACCTCATGGTGCTGGGTCTGTGTTTTATTTGCCTTTATTGATCAAGGAAAATATTTTATTTGGTATATATTTTCCATCCTACTTTCCTCCCAATAGTTTTCATTTGTTAATTAAATGAAACCATGTCATTAACTGCAGCTGAGCATAATTTCTTCTAATACATTTTGGCTTTATTTTGCAGGGCAATGCTTTGATTAAATATCAAACTGGCTCTCATACAAATATTGAATATTGGTTCAATGTTGACCTAGCTTAAGAACTTACAGGTCTAGCATGTAACATCATTGCCTTTTCTCACTGAGGAATATGTTTTAAGTTCCAAGAAAAGAGAATATTGATGATTAACAAGGCAGTCTGGGCAGGTCCAAGATCTAAGACAATGTAAAATGTAATATTTTGGGGTTTAATGTTAAGATTTGTATTGACTAGAAAAATAAGCATGACAAAAATCTTCTGAGCTTCTGATTCATTTATATAACCTGTTGTTCTCAAGACTGCTTGTATGTGCAGTCTCCCCTCTGTAGTTCATAACTTACCACCCATCGGAGCCATAGGCTGGTCTCACTTGCAGTTCGAACTGTTACACTTGCAGGTGCAACATCGGGTGGGGCCTGCAAAGTCTGGATGACACGAGATGATGGACTGAAAGGACTGGGGCCAACAATGTTCACTTGCCTCATCCTAAACCTAAAGAAGAATCATGAAGTGGAAGAAAAGAACAAGGGGAAAAAGAATGCCTCTTTTTTAAAAAATTTTTTAAATTTTTTATTTTGGCTAGGCAATGGGGTTAAGTGACTTGCCCAGGGTCACACAGCTAGTAAATGTTATGTGTCTGCGGCCAAGTTTGAACTCCTGAATCCAGGACTGGTGCTGTATCCACTGCACCACCTAGCTGCCCCAGGAATGCCTCCTTTAAGGGAGGAGTTCAGCAGATCCCAAAGGCTCAAGGTTACCTTTCTTGTTTCTAATATATTTCATTTAAAATGTAAATCACTTAGAAAGATACGTTTCTAAGTAGCTTCAAAGGATGGGAAGTCAAGCAGAATCAAACAATTTCACATACCCAAGTGACAGAAAATTGTATGTATTAGATATCAGACACCTATGTTGCAAATTACCAATGGTTGAATCAAGATTCAGGGAAACAACAGATTTTGATTCAAATGGCTATTTGATCTAGTATTGGAATTGGAAAGAGACTTTAGAGGTTATCCCCTCCAAAGCCTTCCTGATGCGTGAATTTAATGGTATTACAAAATAACATCTTTTAATAAAAAAAAAATTGCTTCTGAGTAATTAAGAGCAATTTGGTTTTTCTTGGTTATCTCCTGAGGCTCTCAGTTCTAACTCATCTTTATGGTTTTGTTCACAATACAAAGATCTTATTATATTAATTAAAGGAACAGTCCACAGAAACACACAGAAATAATACATACGCATATATATATGTATACACACACACACACACACACACACACACACACACACATATATATATGTATGCATGCATGTATCTATAGTAATTTCAAAAAACTGCCATGGCACTCAAAAGCAAACTAAATACTCAGTGAATATCAGATGTCTCAAACTATAATAAAAAGGAGTCTCAGATTTTTCAGATATTCAGAATGATGACCAAAAAAAGCAACTCACATTTATGCAATGCCTTAATTTTTATAAGTACTTGTCCTTCTAACAACCCTATGAAGTAGGCAGGATGAGCATTATTTTCCTTTTATAGATGAGGCACTGAGTAATTAGGTGGTCACACAACTAGTAAAAAAGGTCTGATACTTTAGCTTTCAAATATTTAACAATTGTTCTACGATCATACACTTTAGGCTAGAAGGGCCCTCAGAGGGCATTTATCCCAACCTCCTTATTTCACAACTGAGGAAACAGAGGTTAAGTGACACTGTAGGGGTGGGAAGTGGGATTTGTACCCAGGTGGCCTGAATCCAAAGACGACCATTCTGATTTAACTGTGGTCCCTAGTCATAGTGACTTGATTTATGATAAAGGTTATTCTTTAAAAAAAAAATTTCCACCATTAGTACAGAACCACAACTGATGTGTTCTATTTTGGGGAAGTACGCTCAAAAGAATACATGTTAAATAAGCAGCACTTCATGGCTTGTTCCTTTCAACATTTACATCATGCAAAGAAAATGATTTTGACAATTTCACCTCTTACTCTCTGTATTAGTAATTCTTATTTCTTTCTTCCCTGAGCTCACAAAACGTATCCGTTCTGGCAGAACAATGACATTATCAAACTCAACATCTGGTGATAACTGGAAAATTCATCTCTTTCAATGATCTTACGGGAAGTTATAACATCTCTAACGGCTTGTGATCACTCTACCCTTTGTTAAGGCCAAGGATTTACTGCCAGACTAAGTTTCAGGATCAAGTATTATAGTGGCATCCTGGTAAGAAGAGCCACTCTGAAAGGCCTTTAATACTTGCAAACAGAAGGATATTTATAGGACAGCTATTATTTGCACGTTGTTCTTTAACAGTCAAAATTGCACACGGTGTTAGTGAGAAAAGAGCCACATCTCTGATTGCTCAAGGTTCTTGGTTTTCAATCCTATAATAATAGAGAAGACATTTCTATAGGGGATGTTGCCGTTTAGCAGATTAAAAGAACCTTCCAAATCTGGGATCAGGGTGTAATATCCCTTGAAATAATATTCATCTGTATATTTTGCCTACTCTTTAAAGTCTGATTTACTTTCATTGTTACCTAAAAATTTGAATTTACATATATATAACTGAGTTTTGCTATCTGCTGACTGAAGCCACCTGCTTGCGTGTGAATAAATGTTTTGCCTGTTGTAATTTATCACCTGCTGTTCTCACCTGTAATGAGTGTAGGGAGTAAGGTTTGGTATCTCCAACATCTGGGCATCAGGCTCATTCTCTTCTTCATAGAGACAGCTCCACTCCTCATCGTCACCTATTGCACCAATCTGTTTCGGAGAAGGAGGATGTCAAGTGGGGTTAGTAAATGCTATGGAATTCCAGTCTCCATATGAAATGGACCACCAAGTTATGAAGTCCATGCTTGTCACCAGGCCAGATGTAACCACCTAACCTTCCTCTGTTTGTTGAAGAAGGGGCTAGTTCAGAGATGGGGAACTTGTGCCCTCGAGGCCACATGTGGCCTTCTAGGTCCTTGGGTGTGGCCTTTTGACTACGATTTGTTCTGTGAAGTTTGGATTCAGTTAAAGGGCTACACTTGAGGACCTAGTTCCTCAAAGTTACAGGTTCCCCACCCCTGGGCTAGTTCTTGCCCTCCTGGGTCTAGAGCAGAAGTAAACTACAATGCCTCTAAAAACCTCCTGCTTCTCAAGACTATGCCTTATAAAATAGAGGTACCACCCTATGAGGGGATCATCACTGCATTGCTGTCATTGGCTTCTATGCCCCCATCCCTGCCATATGCTAACCCCTGGATGGTCAGTGTGTCCCTGATGAGGATTGACACGTAGGAGGCAGAGGGTATGCAAGGAGAGAATATCAGGCCAAACAAATAGTGTTGAGATGAGAACAATCCAGGGTCCAGGGCTGTTTAACATTTCATAAATGACTTAGATGATGGAATAGAAAACATGCTCATTAAGTTTGCAGATGGAACCAAGTTGGCAGGTAGCCAGCACTTTGGAAGACAGCAACAGAATTGAAAATGACCTTGGTAAATGGAAGAAGTGGTCAGAAACAAAAGAGAATGAAGTTCAACAAAGATGAGTATAGGATAGGGTACTCAGTGGGGGGAAAACAAATGCAAAAACAGACTATTGGATGACTGCATAAAAAGAAATCTGGCAGAAAAAGATCTAGGGGTCAGAGTGGATAATAAGCTGCAGATGAATCAGCAATGTATTACTGTTCTTTTAAAAAGCAAGAGAATAGAGGAATGCTGAGCCAGAAGTTAAAAAAAATGAAGGAACTATGAAGATTCTCTCATTATCCTCAGTATTTTTTAGATTCTCTTTGAGGGAGTATGAAAAATAATCGGTTTTAAAAGAGAGACACAAACATGATTAAGGGGTTAGACAATAAACTCATTGGTAAAGGTCAAAGCCATTCAGGCTATTCTGAAGGAGGGAAAGCTGAGCAACACCAACAGTAGTCTTTGGCAGAGAGAGAACAGAGAACAAGGAGAGTGACAATGAGAGTGCTCTAGATGAAAGGGATCCAGAAGCAATTGGAGGGCACTGCTAGAGGTACGTAAAAACAGAGAGGCCTTGGCATGACAGCGAAGTTCTGTAAATTGAGAAGATTCTGTCATGATCAACATCCAGTATGTAAGCTTCATACCCCCCATTTTCCTGCAGTGCCCCTTGGATATATCGCATGGTCCTCTTTGTTCTGACTCTGTCCCCTATAGGTTTAGAAGCTTTAGAAAGCCCTGCTGTGGGACACACAAGCACCTTACAGATGCTGACCTGGGAATTACAGAAGAACCAGCTGGCCGTCTTGAAACCCTCTACAGAGGGCAAAGCAGATTCGGTCCACGATACGTGAGAAGCAGCATGGTGTACTGAGTTAACACAATGGACTCAGAGACAAGAGTACCTGGGTTCAAATACCACCTCAGACACTGACTAGCTGTGTGACTCTGGGCAAATCACTCTCTGTGCCTCAGTTTCCTCATTTATAAAATGAAGAGTTTGATTCAATGGTCAGTATGGCCTTTCTAACTCTAAATCTATAATCCCATAAACGAGAAATGGAAATGAGTGGTTTTCATTAGATAGTATACCCAAATAGGTATGTCTGTGCATGTGGCTAGATAATAATAAAGGACATAAGAAGAAAGATGCTATCTGCAGCTGGAGAAAGAACTAATAAATAGAAGTATGTATAGGATAATTATACATATACATATATGTGTATGTGTGTGTGTGTGTGTATATGTTCCTATTTGTGTCTAATGGTGTAGCTATCTCTAGAGTAGGGGCAGGGGGAAGGGGGAAAAAAGAAAAAAGTTTACATGATAACTTTGTGTATATTTAATAGGAATAGCAAGTTGTACATAGTAGATTTACAGTTTCATGTGTAATCATCTTTTTACTACACTATATTATGGAAAAGCTTGCTTTATTCCATAAATTAAAAATAAAATAAATTTTAAAAAAATACTCTTTCTATACTATGGCTCGATCCCAAAGCACTCATTCAGCTTTAGTCTGGAGGAGAGGGTGGTGTAAGGGTTTGCCCCAACTGAACACAACAGAACAGGTCTAGCACATCATGGAGGTGACACAGTCAAGGGACCAAAGGGACTATGGAGCATAAGAATTTAACAGCAAGGTGACCTAGAATCAAGTTCTTGCCCCTGCCAATACAGGACATCATCCTACCTGTTCCTTCCTATTGATCTAGGTCTCCCAAGAAATTTGACATTTCACTAGGAGGATGAGACCATGAGGTTCTCTCTTTCTCTCTCTCTCTCTCTCTCTCTCTCTCTCTCTCTCTCTCTCTCTCTCTCTCTCTCTCTCTCTCTCTCTCTCTCTCTCTCTTTCTTTTTCTTTCTTTCTTTTCTTACATTAAACTGACCCAGGAGTTGCAAGTAACACTATCACTTCAGGTGAAATTATCACAGAATCTTAAGTATGGAGCTAAAAGTAGCTTCAGAGTAACTTGAACCCCCTTAATTTTACAATTAAGGAAACTGAGATAATAGGAAAGGTAAGTTACTTAGCCAAGGTTGCACAAGTAATAACCATCAGAGGTGGGATTTATACCTGGGTCCTTTGAATCCAGAACCAGAGATATTTCCATTGTACTACACTGTCTCCTTTTAAAGTGGATATCATCTGCCTTGGTACTTAATTCATTTTATAACATGTTACAGTTATTTAGTCACACAAGACAAGCAGGCATGGACGAGTTGCTATCTACATCACCAAAAAGAACATTGCCATCAATGGGATCACAGTTCCATTGGCATATTTGAGATTAAGTATGTTTCATCTCGCCTTCCACAAAGTAACATGATATTGTTCATCTATGTATTTATTGGATGTTATTTGATCCCTATAACAACAATCTAAGAAGTAAGTACTTTAAGTCTAATAACCCCCATTTTACAGGTGAAGAAACTGAGGTTCATAAGGGTTACTTAAATAAGTGATAATTGTCTGAGCCAAGATAAGAACATTGGCATTTTCTGACTTTCTGAGCCCAGAATTCTTCCCATTACACTATGTGGACTCTTCCAATGAGTGGGGTGACATTATAGAGTGTCACAAATTCTGGCAAGATGCAGAAGTTTAACATAGTAAAAAGTGTAATGAATTTTGAGTCAGGAAGCTTGGGTTTTAGTTGCAACCCTGCCCAACCTAACTTACTTTGGGCAAGTCATTTGGGCTTCCTGGGTCTCAGTTTCCTCAAATTAAACTAAATGTTAATTATTTGTATTGTGATTGCCTGTCCCACCCTTCCTCCTATATTCCCACTTTGGAGCTAGTAGTCTGCAATGGTTTAGATATCTGCCTTTTTAATTTATCTTCAATTGCCTTAAGACTTCTAACTTTATAGTTAAAGTCATTCTTGTGTTTGTTTGTTTAAAGCTTCCCATTACTTGAACTTACTGACCTGTTTTTAGACATCTTTACCTTGTGGTACCTATCTGTTATCTGTTTGGTAGAATATTTGGCTACAAAAGCTTAGCGATAGCAGCTTATCTCAGTGTTAGTTCAGACATCCTCATCCTGTAACCAGCTGTCAGATAGTGATCAGTGATGTATCTATGTTTATCCTTCTGTCCCTAACCTGAAGGTTTGCGTATTTTACTGAAGATTCCTGTCCTCAGGAGGGGTGGTTAACACATCATAATGATGTTTGATGAGCTTGCCAAAATGCTGATCCTTATCAGGGCAAATTACCACACCTAGCAAGCAACATTCCCAGGTCCCTGATAGAAAATCGTCATCTGGCTGCAGTAACAGTTAAGATGCCAGGCACATAAGGATGACCCAGAACTTCTAAATTTCATGTTCAAGTGTTGCCATATAAATCATGATGCCTTTAAACGCAAAATTCTGTGAAGGTAATCTCTATTAGATGAGAGACATCCTATATAATGACTGAAAGGAGACTCAGTCTTGACTCCTGTCTCTGATGCTCATTAGCTGTGGGATGACGGAAAAGTAAGCTAACATTGCTGAGTTTCACTTTCCTCATCTGTAAAATGTCAGTCAGTCATTAAGCATTTATTAAACACCTACTTCTGTTCCAGGCACTGGGCTAAATGCTGCGGATACAGAAAAAAGCCAAAGGCAACCCCTACCCTCAAGGAGGACTCACAGTCTAATGGAGGAGTTGCTGTTCAGTCATTTTTTGGTCAAGTTCGACTCTGTGACCCCATTTAGGGTTTTCTTGGCAAAGATCCTGGCATAGTTTTCCATTTCCTTCTTTAGCTCATTTTACAGAAGAGGAAACTGAGGCAGAGTTAAGTGACTTACTCAGGGTCATACAACTAGTGAATGTCTGAGGCTGGATTTCTGGATTTGAATTCATGAAGATGAGTCTTCCTGATTCCAAGCCCAGTGTTCTAGCCACTGCACCACCTGGCTGCCCTAATGGAGAAGACAAACAGTCAAATACATACATGCAAGCTATACACAGGATAAAAAGGAAATAGTTAACAGAGGGAAGGTAGTAGAATTGAGAGGGGATGGGAAAGGCTTCCTTTAGAAAATGGGATTTTAGTTGGGACTTAAAGAAAGGAAGCCAGGGAAGCAAGGAGGCAAAGATGTGGAGGGAGACCCTTCCAGGGGTGGGGGACAGCAAGAGAAAATGGCCAGAGTTGAGAGATGGAGTGTATTGCTCATGGAAAAGCGGGAAAGCCAATGTCTCTGACCATGGAATATGTGGTTGGGAGTAAGATGTAAAAACACTAAAAAGGAGCGGGAAGCCTTGGTTATAAAGGGCTTTGAAGGTCAAACAGAGGATTTTGTAT